CCTAACTACCCGCCTCGCACTACTAAAGTGTAAGTAAAGTCCCCTATTACAATATCGTATTCCAATTTTATTACTAGTAAAAGACTCAAATACGACGGATGCTAGATGTATGGAAGAGCAACAGATACTGTCCGGACCTTCCGTAGGAATAAGGGCAAATCCTGAATGTGTTGTAATTATTTTTGTTAGTTAAAAATGTACTAAAAGCCTTCTTGCTTGCAGTTTTACGGATACCAATGAGGAGGTAACAATTAAAATGTGTTTGATTAAAGAAAAAAAACAATATTATATCTATTATAAAGCTAAGCTAGATTTATAAACATATTATCCCCATAAAAGGCTTGTTTTTGGGATATACCTCCTGTAGACACATCATTGTATTATGTAATTAATTTCCTATTGTCAATTTCCCTTATTGTCCCTCTTGATAATGCTACTTCCTTACTTAAGAACTGTCCATAACAAATTCTTACAAACCATTACTATCATTAATGCTTGTGAAAGTAATTAGTCTAATTGTATAACAGATTTTTATAAATATATCGTAATTTATTTGTTCCACAGAGCTTAAACTGTTGGAGTAACATGGATGGAGCACTATTAGAAGCCTGAATATTTGTCTATGAAAATATATCAGTCTCATTATTTGAAATTATATTATTTTAAAATATATTTAATAATGTTAATAGATATGCTATTGGTTAACAAATGTTTAAGCTGAATTGTTATTTAGTAACGGAAAAACATTTGTAATAATGTATCACTTGATCATAGCATCGAAATTAATATAAATCATTCCAAACTGAAATGTTTTTCATTTATTTTTTAAAAACTAAAGAATTCAAATTTCAAAAACTTCAGGCCTAGTTAGTATGGAGATATTGATAGAAATTTATTTAGCATGACAATGCAGTAAAAAGATATAGTTATTCAATACACAATAGTATGTTTTTAATAAAAAAATATTGTTGATAATGATAAATTACCCAGTTAAGGCTACACAAAAATAAAAGAATAGATGACAAACAATAATCCATTAATACTAATTCTTTCAAAAAAGCAACTAAAAAACAATTGTACACAAAACCAGTCTTATGTTAATATCTTCTATGAAATAAATTAATTTTAATTACAATTTTAAATCCTTGGCTATATCAATATGTTTCCTTTTATATATTCTCTCAGCTAATTGCAGTAATAAATACATTAAACTTATAACTAGTAAGAATGGCCAAACACCACTAGACAAATAACTTTTTAACTGTTGACCCAATGGTTTGTTTTTATTCAATAAAATTTTATTATAAACTATCTCTGTTCTTCTTGCGATATCCATCCAGTTGTACATTTTTCTAATCATTCTGTTACATTCATATGGACATAGAATATATCCTTTTTTTAAATCATTAATAGCTAACTCAATACCATTTACAATACTGTTAACATTTGGTTCTGTTAAGTAAATCATATTTTCAGGTAAAACTTCAGGAATGCCCCCTACTTTAGTAGATACAACTTTCAGTCCACATGATGCAGCTTCAACAATAGCCATACAATAAGCTTCAGTTAATGATGTATTAAGAAATATATCACCTTTAACTAATGTATCTCGCACTTCAGAATGTTTCAAACTACCCAACAAGGTAACACAATGCTGAAAACCTTTTCTCTCTCTCACTTCTTGGAGAAGCCACATCTTTGGACCATCACCACCAATTATGAACCTAAGTTTAGGATAACGAGGACACATATCAGCTATCACTGCAGCCATTAAATCTACCCCCTTTCTATACACTAATCTAGATACAATAACTATAGTTATCACACTAGGATCCCTTTTACTAGGATCTGGGGTAAAGTTGTAAGCATCAACTGCATTAGGAATTACAGAAACCTTGTGTGCTTTTACTTTTGCTCTTAAAACTGTATTCTCTTTTCCAGTATGTGACACACATATGCAATGATCACATTCACATAGACACATTTGTAAATACTTATTAGTTAGAACTGCAGAAGTGTCTGCGAAGCCAAATAAACTGTGATCAGTGAATACTGTTTTCAAACCAAGCAATTTGCCTATGATTGAAATTTCATGCGCTAGAACACTAAAGGCTGAATGGCCATGGACAATTTCAATACATTCACGTATTAATATGTAGCGTACTATGGCTATGTTACAAATCATGGTAGGCAAAACGCATTGCGCGTAAAATACTTTTATAGGTAAATAATACACTTTTAAGCCACCTGTTAGATATCTTATTCCCACTCTGTCGCCGTAACAATGGGTTATGACGACAACTTTGTGTCCGCGTTTGATTAAACATTGCGATAAATTGTAAATATGCTCTTCAACTCCTCCTGTATTCGGATAAAAGAAATCTGAAGCCATACAAATCACATGTCGCTTCTTATGATTTGCGATTTCCTATTGGAAAAAAAAGATATTTAACGTTAACTATTTGTAAATAAAAGTGATATACGCAATCATACATAACAATTTGATACCTTATTCATGTCAACCAATTATGTTTAAAATTATAAAACCGTAACACTACTTATACCAAAAATATTTTGTTTTGACATTGACATCTTTTCAGACTTTGTCTTTTAACGGAGAGATTACATTTTCAAAGTAGTTGATCTTTTTTTCTCTAAAAGTTTATTAAAAACCCAAAAAACAACAGAAATCTCGAAACAATTAAACCTTTAACAATGTCATAGTTACGGGAACGTTAATTTTAGAATTTACTGTCCTGTATTTTCTAGAGTTTTATCCGATATGTATTTTTTATTTCGGTCATCTTCTCTGCAAATATCAACGATAAAATGTCAAAATCATATGTTTTGGTTATGTCAAAAATCCGTCATAACATCGTAACGTGGTACTCAAAGTGATAATGAAAATGCATGGTTGATTTAAAATTCATACCAGTCCATGGATGCTTTGTATATCGATGTAAATAAAACGACAAAATCTTTAAAAATGAACGAAAGTAAAAAAGTGGATAAAAAATGTAAAAGATATGCTGCAAGATTACAATCTTCCAAAGGGGTTACTTGTACTGAGAAGCCTGGAATTGTAAGTTTTTATTTTTATAAGAACTATTGTATGTTTTAGATTCTAGCATCGTCCAAAACCCGATTTATAGGCTGTACTTATTACTTACGCACTACATATATATTTTATTATTAACCTATTATTGTTTTTCAGAATATAATACTTTGCAATGTCGGTCAAGCTACAGGACTATTAAAAGAAGACATAGTAAATCTATTGAATACCATACCTTCAGTGAAACTAAAAAAGTTTGTTGCTCAAAAGGGGGAGTCACACTCATATTTAGTATTTGAAAGTGAATCTTGTGCTTTAACTTTTTATCTTAAATATAATGGTAAAAAGTGCTTCAACAATGACACATATTTGTATATGTGTTTTGTTGATAAAGGTAATTTTTTTTTTTTATTAAAACACTTGTAAAAAATGGTATGATTTGCTCTATGGAGTAATTTCAAAGATATATTTGCATATATTTTTTAACCATTGAAACAAAAATAATTCAAACATATTTTTTTTAGTACCAAATACAGAAGCTATATGTCCATACAAAGATCCAGAAGGTCTGCACATTATAGAAGATTTTATAAGTATAGAAGAAGAAGAAAGATTAATAAAACTTTTTGACTGGAAGGATGACATACCAAATCTAAAAAATCGGCAAGTAAGACATTTTGGTTATGAATTTCGTTATGGAAGTAATGATGTAGATTTAGATGAACCTTTACCGAACAAGATACCTAAGGAATGTGATATTTTTTGGACAAGATTAAAAAGAAATATAAACCTGGAACCACCTGATCAGCTAACTGTTAATAAATATATCCCAGGGCAAGGTAATTTTTTAAAGCATTACACCATAATTTGATCTACATTTAGTCACATTTATCAAAAAAAAATTACATGTGGATTTGGCAAAAGATGAGACATATAATAGGGGGAATGTCTTTCTGTGTATCTGCTCCTTTGTCAATTAAAGGTAGGCATTGCAACTGGAAATGCAGATGTCTGTCTCTTTTGTTAGATTTCATTGGCCGCTTGCTCATTTATTACCTTATGTTATAAAAATTCTTTCTTTCGAACTAAATTAATTTTGTTTTTCAAGGTATTCCAATGCATGTAGACCGACACAGTCCATTTGGACCTACAATACTGTCCGTCTCGCTGGGATCCTCAGTAGTTATGGATTGGAGACATCACAGTGGTCTGAATGTACCCATTGTTGTCCCACCGAGGTCAATATTGATTATGCAAGATGAAGCAAGGTAGGAAACAATTAAATAAATAAACTGTAGATTTTAAGAAAATTGTATCTAACTGAGAATGTAACAAAAATTCATGAAATCCAGCCAAATCTTCATTAGATAGCTCAATTAATACTTTATCATATATTACAGATATGACTGGCAACACGGAATACAGCCTCGTACTTGGGACCCTGTCATTGAACACCAAACTCAGAATGGTCAACATGTTAAAGTGGTTACAAATGAGACTAGAAACAGGGAGATGAGGATATCGTTGACTTTTCGATGGACGAGACGCGGTAGTTGTGACTGCATGTACAAGACCCTCTGTGATTCTGCAGATACTAAATCTACTACTGATTTGGATGATACCATTGCTTCTAATCTGGAGGAACTACATGTACATCAGGTAAGTATCTGTTATTTAAGAACTCAGTATCCTTGTTTATATCTATTATCTGTAAATTTTAAAAAAACGACTATAGGTACTTTTCTTAATATTTTCATACTCTATGACACCTTTTACCAAAGAGTGTAAATGTTTAAACATGTAAAAAAAATACAGGTGTGCTAGAACCACAGAATATAAATGAATTGGCTATGTAAGCCAAGGTAAATTGTATCTAGTAGTGATTAAATTAGTGGTTAAAACCAAGAGAAACAGTATTAGAAGCGACTTTAGAGGTGTGATGTGCAGGTGTACGAGCAGATATCGCGTCACTTCAGCAGCACGCGGCACCAGGCGTGGCCGCAGGTGGTGCGCTTCGTGCGCGACTCGCCGCCCGGCGCCGTCCTGCTCGACCTCGGCGCCGGCAACGGGAAGAACATCCTCAAGCGATCAGATATACTGCAGGTACAGTGATCTTAGTTACCTATGGTAGTGTAATAAAACATAAACACACTTCTGTAGGATGTCAGCAATCACACCATCTTTCTTTAATAAAAAGCCCTACAGTTACCAAATGCTATAGGCTATATATTTCCAAGATATTTCACATACAGAGTAAACAGATTGAAAAACATTGTTAGAGAAAGGGACAAAACTTTAAGCCAACAATATTTGTTAACCAATTGTAATGGCCTTCATTGTTATTTGAGCATTATAATGCCATGCAAACAAAGCCATACAAGAACAGCTAGTTCCCAACCGATTACTTCGACTTCTAGAGACAAACGTCCAACATTGTAGTTAAAGATCGATAGAAAACTACAATTTATAGAGTAAATTTTTCATGTTCAAATTATTACTTATTTACACAAAAAACTGTAAAAATATGTTATTTCAATTTAGATAGCAGGCGAACGTAGCAGTGGGTTGTTGAGTGAGTGCAAGAACTATATCGGCGATGTGGCGGCGGCCGACTGCGTCAGGCTGGACCTGCTCTATGCGGGCATAAGGGACGGCTGCGCTGACGTCATCATTTGCATTGCGGTCGTACATCACTTCAGTACTCAGGTTAGTATATAATAGCGAAGATAAACATGAAGTTTTAAAAACTGCAAACATGAATTAAATAGTTAAACACAACACTACTTAGTGAAATTTTGATACATCCGGCTCAAAGGACCAAATATTTGATTTTTACAAATTGTAAAAATTTTTCATGTGATTGTTTTTTTCTAGTCGAGACGAGTCCAAGCTTTACAAACAATAGCTCGACTACTCCGTTCAGGAGGTCGCGCTCTTATCACCGTATGGGCTAAAGATCAGACCAAATCCAACTATCTGTGCAAAAAGAAAGAAAATGTAATACAAAACAATAGCATCGTCGAAGTGGCCGGTGTCAATCTCCCGGTGCACGAGAATAGAACTCAGTTTCAACACAAAGATTTGCTTGTCCCATGGAAATTGAGAGGCGTAAAAGAAGAAAAACTAGCAGATAAACCAGAGAGCACATTGTTAAGGTTCTATCATGTGTTTGAAGAAGGTGAATTGGAACAATTATGTGTCTCGTCTAATTTAATCGTGGAAAAAAGTTTTTATGACGAAGGAAATTGGTGCGTTGTTTGTAATAAACCATAAATTGTTCAAAAAGTTTCATCTTTTATTTAATGTTTATTCAATAAAGTTTCTCTACAATTAATAAAAATAACATAAAAGATATAAATATAACGATTTTATTTTAAAACCAACATAAATATAATGAGTTTTGATCAGATATTCTATGGTTTCATCAGCGCCAGTTGTAACAAAGGTACAATGGATATTGTTGATAAATCTGCCAACACGGCATCCACATTTTGAATCGTGTTTACTTGAAATATATTCTCTTTTCTGAAACTTAAAATGGCAACCGCGAGCAGTGGCAGAATGTCTAAAGAATCATAGCCCAAGATGGCGTCCCATAAAAACAATAGCTGATCCGGGGGAAGATGTCCACTGAACGCTCGCATTAACCATTTGAATACGACTCTCACTCTAAAAAAATTATCTAATGAATTACACATAATTATTTACAATTAATTATTACACAATTCGTTCCAATTTACTTACGGATGGATGTTAATATTTTTGAAGTGTATCCAGAGTAAAGGTTCATTTGCTTCTAATAATCTTTCATATAATAAACAAAGTGATACGATACCCTGAAATTAATATAATACTGAGTTAACAACGGTTTAAAATAACATAAATAACTAAATTCAACACATTAAAAAAAGGATTCTAGTTTCGTGAAAACAATTATACGTTTAGAAATCAACGTCTCTTCCCTAGTCAAATATTTTTTTTAAAATGCCAATTCTAGAGTAGAATAAAGTAATTAAGACTATGTGACCTGCGGGTGCGTGGAAATGTAGTGCAGGCGGTGCCAGTAGCGGATGTAGAAGGCGCGGAAGGTGTAGTACAGCTGTACCGGCTCGTCGTACAGGTAGCAGAATGGCGTCGCTGCACATCACACATTTAAATGTCGCCACTTTTATATACGAACATTATCTCCGTTTTTTTTTTTTTTTTTAAACGGCCGTGTTTTATGTATATAAATTTGTTCATATTTTGTCCCTTACTCTGTCTAATTGTCTCTGTAAGATTAGAAAACGATATTATTTTAACGTCAAATAAACTCACCATACATAGAAAAACCATGGAACGGTATAATTCCACTGGGCGGGAAGACGGTGGTGTTGTCGGGCGAAGTCTGTTTGCCCTTGATGGTGACGGTGAGGGCGCTGCCCACGCAGCCCGTCAGCTGCTTCAAGATCTCACCGTCGCGTGAAAAGCAAAGCATCACCTGGTAATATGAGATTTTATTAAAAAGGAGTTAAAACAGCTCACCTTGTCTTGGCTATCAATTACTTTTTACGTCTGTTGGCACAAATTTAGCACTAAAATTGACAAGTGACAAAAACAAACCTGGTATAGTAGATCTTCGAACACAAAATACTGGTCATCGTTAGAAGCTGTCAGTTGCACATCCTTGAATATTAGCTTGTCTATCATGAGGTCCACCTCCAGTACGTTCTTCTTTAGTTGATTGAAGCTCGCCGCTTGCTAAAGTAAATAGGTAATCTGTTAAATTAGAAATAATTTACGTACGATTCCTCACTTCATGTCCGACGAAATTATAACTTAGTAAAAAGGTTTTATAAAACGTTTGTTACGTGTGGAGTGATCTCGACGCCCAGCACTTGTGCCCAAAGTCCGGCGCGCAAGCAGTGAGGGCTGCCACGTTTAAGGAATTCCTGTGCAACGGGCGCGTAGCGCAGAGCCGACACGCGAGCGCCCAGGGCCGCGCGCTCCGCCGCTAACGCGCCGCCGCCCAACGCGCACCGCGACTCCGGGTTGGCGCCCAGCAGCGGCTCCCCGCTCGCCCACTCGGGGTACTCTTTGCGCTACACGCATCATTACACTCTAATACCAACTTATTTTACAACTGACTGAAGTCCTAAATACGCTGAACGAGAATAAGGGTTATGAGAGGCGGATTGAAGAATCTGTGGAAGCATAACTGGGTAGCTACCATGTGGGTTTTGTGAAAATCAAATAATGTTTCTTTTATAACTTTAACATTTATTTTTGCTGTTACCAATTGATCCAAAGTTTTCACTTGCAGTGGTAGATGTGCAAACTCCCATTTCGGCTCATCCCTGTAATCATTACAAAAACTGAGTACCAAAAGTGCTTTGTTGTACGTTACATAATTTGTTCTTTTTTTAACTTACTCTCTTGTAAATGGTACGTAACCAGACAGAGTTAATAGAACTTCTAAAAAATCCTTTGGTGCGTACACGGGTCTGTATTTGGAAAGATCTGTCAAAAGTATTTTTTTTAATCACAAAACAGTTCATTTAATACAAAATTAGATTGACAGTGCCATAAAAGCTCTCGTTAGATTCAAAATATTGATTTAGAACGTTTGTAATGACTTTTAAATGTTTTTACCCAAACTATATGTGCTAAGTTCATTCCATTTTTCTGCGATGTCGTCTTGTTCGCTCTGCGGCCTCAACTTAGCTAACGAAGTTTCTAAGTCCGAACACATAGAATTCAATGATTTATGTATCCTTTTCTCCCATTGAGAACTTGCTTTAGACAAACATGTGAGGGGATCTAATTTCTAAAAAACATTGTGACGTTTCATCCCTTTGTTATAAAATGTAACGAATTATTTTATGAATAAAACTCACATTATTTTTACTTTGTGTTCGTACCCAATGGTAAACGGTATTTCTTAACTTTGTGTCTAAACCTTTTTCTTTCATCGCCTCTTGAAGGCTTTGTTTAAAATCTTCTTTTTTAACATTTGGAGATGAAACTAATTTCTGTGGGTTAAAAGATAATAAACGATAGGCAGTTATTTTAAAAGTAATACAGAGGAACTTTGAAACGTGATATTGTACTACCGAAAGAACAAAACGAAGTGGTGTTTTGCGAGTGCCAATAGTAGTAGCAGGTTAAAGAAGTTATGATACTATTTGATATTTCATTTACCTGTATGTCGCTGTAAAATGATTTATAAATGGAAAGATTTTTTATTTCTTCTGCTAATTTAAGAGCTGTGTTATGAATAGCATCTTCTTTGATGCCGTCCATTTCTATGAATTCACCAATTTAATTTTAATTTTACTTAAACTAAACCGAATCAAACAATAAATAAAACACAGTTCAATAAAGTATTAAGACATTGTTGCTTAGTAACTGAATAACTGAAAAATAAAATATCTTTCGGAAAGGAACCGTTTCATAAGTGACATATTATTGATATATTAAATAACTTTTTACATGACTGTACCGAAGTAGAGAAAATGGGATAAAGCAAAAATGACCGGAATATTAGGAAAAATCGAAACATGCGTGTTAGAGATGGAACTTTGTGATTTTGTGTTAAAATGTTTTATATTATTTACAGTGACAACACTCGAAATCAGACGTGTTCTGTCACTGTCAATATCAAACTCCGTCGCTGTGATTGATTTTGCATTATCAGTTGTCATTCTGTGTTTTGAAAACAAAGAAAAATGGGAAAAATATTTCTACACCATATTGGTGGGACTCGTTTATTTTCATGTGCCACTTGTGATGTGAATCTCACTAATCGTGCGGAGTTAATCAGCACGAGATTTACCGGAGCAACAGGTTTGTTGATATTTTATTCGATATTCGTGATGAAATTGGTGACGAATAAGTTATTGTTATTATGGGAAGTAATTGAATTTACTCTCAGATTTATGTTATTTTCTAGTACCGTTTAATAATCTGTAGAAAAAAAAACACATAAACCTCAGAGGAATGTACAATAGTCTTAATAATGTAAATGTGAAAGTTAAGACGAATGGATGGATGTTTGTTAGAAGGTGAAACGGCTCAACAGATTTCGATGAAATTTGGCATAGATGTAGAACATATTCTGGAAGACTACATAAGCTTTTTTAATTCCATGCAAACATAGTCATCTGCAAGAGCTAGTAATATAAAAAAATTATTACAGGGAGGGCATTTCTGTTTCACAAGGTTGTGAACCTTGTGTACTCTGAGGTGCAAGATCGAGTGATGCTGACTGGGCGGCACATGGTGCGTGATGTTTCTTGCAAGAACTGCACCAACAAGCTTGGCTGGGTCTATGAATTTGCCACCGAAGAGAACCAACGGTATATATATATTCTTTTCTACACTTTCATTGATCTATTCAGATAAATCTTGCTAGTAATTTTGTTGCTTACATAACTGAAATGTATTTCATATTTTTATATTTTCATTAACTGTCATTCCCCATTCCCCTGACTGACAAAAGGAGTTAAGATTTTTATGGATAAGTGTATGAAAGTTCCTACTTCAAGTCTAAACTGGTGCGGTGTTATTTGATGCATCTTCTGCCCTTCAGTGTCATAGGGTTAGAGTCAGTCACATTTTTACTTTTTAATTTTGCTTAAAATAAGCTTAGATAAAAATCACTTAGTTTAGTAATTTAATAACAGGGACAGCTTGTAATCAGAGGATATAGCATAAAATTTTACAAGCATGTTATTGACAGAATTTGTATTATACTTGTTTGTTTACACCTTATAAATGCTGCACAAATGTCATATAAATTTTGTCAAATACATATACTTCCTAATTTTCATGCTATTCTGATTCTTTATAAGTTGTTTTTTTAATGTAGTAATAGCCATAACCTATGTTTTGCAGTGGTCTTTTAATAGTTAACACCACAAAGGAATTGTAGTCAAGTGAGTGTTTTGTTGCTACAGATATAAGGAGGGTCGCGTTATATTGGAGCGGGCGCTGGTTACTGAAAGTGATGGCATTGAGGAAATTCAAGTGAACAATGATGATTGATACTGTAGCAATTTACTGCAGAATATATTATTTTTCACTAGTAATTCTAACTTTATCAATGACGATTGGCAACAAAAAGCAATATTTAATTTTCTAGATATTTATATATTTGCAAGATATTTAGAATTTAGATCATTGATAATTTTTTAATATAAACTCATTAATCTGTCAATAAAAATGATAAAACACACATTTGGATTTTCACATTTGCTTTGTAATATTTCAATTCAAAACAATGAGAACAGTAGTTAATTATTTTCTCAATGATAGTAAACTCATTGAAAGTAACAATGTTGTAAGAATAGGGATTTTTATAACAATTGTGTTATGTTTTGCAAGATTTTAGATTTTTACTCATTAAGGAATCATTTTAAGCAAAAACTCAGTAACCCATTTAAAGGATTTAACACAATAAAAGTTAATATGGAAAACACATAACACTATTTTGAACCAAAAACAAAATTAAAAATATCTCTTTGCTTATAAATTCAGGTGGAATTTCAATCAATGGAGGACTGCCAGTAATATTAAATACACATTTGCAATATCACATTTTATTCAATATTATAACACAACATATATCTTTAGCAGATAACATAATTTTTATTTGTGTTTCTATGCCGCTAAACAGCAGTTTTGATTTACAAATTGAAAGAACAATATAAATAAAATGCCAACATATAAACAAAATAGTACAGGATGAATCAAGTAGTGGAATTTTGAATATTCCAATGGTATTCAATATTCAAATTTTAGCACCAATAATGTGATTTTAGAATATTTATAACAGAAGCTGTACTATGTTGTATTTTATATTACGATTCATTGTAAGGGATTATTTAAATTTATGCCAATGAATTAATAAATATATAATTATTGTCTGATAAAATTTAGAAATTATGTTTAGATTTTGACCAATCACTTACCCTACATTTAAAATTAACTAATAAAAATTGCACTTGTATTATTTGTAACAAATTTGTGGATTTCAACTGCAGTGTAACTTTATTGAAACACTGATATATTGTCTGTTTAAAACGAAACTTTTCGGAGATAAATCTTTACAAAAAAGGTGCCTGTAATTACGATGCATCAAACATGAACATTGATAGACAACCAAAATCTACAGATGTTTATCTTCCTAACGTTACTTTAAAATTTACAGACCTTAGTATTTATCGAGTTAATTAAAAAAAAACTTTATAACTTGTATGTTTCGATAGTATACCTAGGCTATCCGTATTGCTATCCTTTATTTTATTTAAAAAAGAGACGACAGATGTGTCATAGTGTGTCACTGCAGTTGATGCCCACTAGAAATTCCACTACTTGATGCCATCCCATCTCCCGCCATTTTTATCGTATCTCTATACTCTGTAACTGAAAATATATTTCATAAAAATATCGCACCAACCTCCGGCGGGCCGTGGGCCTATTTATTTACAAAAAAAGCACCTCATTACATATCATACTTTAAAATATACAAAAAAAAAACCTCAAAAACTGAAATAGTTGCATCAATATCAAAGTCAATACATTAAAAAAAAAATAAGAAAAATAGCTTGTGTAAAATATGTGATGTGTTTGTTTTAATATGAATGCACGTTAAAAATCAAGACCACTAAGTAGTAAACAATGGGAATTTTTTCACTTTCTCGTTTTATCATATCTCATTTACAATTCAATAAGTTTTGTAAAATAAAAAATATACTCTTTCTAATTCAAAATCGAATTCGAGATCACATTGAAGCCAATCTCCTGACTTCATATAGTACACATTAAAGCAATCATTTGAAACATTATCAGGTCTCAGGTTTGTAATCATTTTAGTGTAACAGTTAAACAAATTTAATATAGTATCTTTTTAAACATAGTTAAACCTACTAGTGATGTGTATTAAGATCTTTTAAATTGATTTTCTGAAGTTAAAAGCGACTTATGTAACTAAATTGCAGTAAGAAATATTATATATCTTTCTCGGTTTTAATTACTTAATAAAGATATGTCCAAAGTTATCTATAAATAAATAAATCAGAAACATGTTCTGTTTTGTAATAAATATGTACATAACAATTTAACTGTACGTTTTCACTGCGGAAACATGAACAAAACATTTTGCCCTCATTCATTTACAAAGATATTTTCTACAGGTGACGCGGCAATTGAAACCCACAGACTAGGTTGGTTTATTTCAAATAATAATAAGAATGCCGTCCGATAATATGTGGAAAGCAAGGTGAAGAATTAAAATGAAAAGTTTTTTGCATTATTTTACCATTATTGATTAGTTCGGAGAGCGTACGTGGCGCACCGCGTATCAATCTTTTTTAAATACCGTATTATGTACATTTATCCGACGTTCTTACAATGAAAGAAAACTTCTTGATGTAACCTGCACATATTGTCGAAGAAATTCAAACTTATGTGTGAAGAGAACCAACCTGCAGCTGCCCAGCGTATTTGACTAAAGCCTAGTCATCCTAACTTGGGTATGCACCGAATCCCTCGGAGGGGACAAACATGTGCTGAAGATGAATTACTACGGGCATGTGTATATAGCAGGGAAGTTGCGATTTAACTTGAATATTATGTAACGATATTGAATCCATCTTAAGGCGCAATAAAAAGTAAAATGCTATAGCTAAGAGTACTTTTATACAAAGACGGAAATTGATCGCTTAAGGAATATGTAATAGAAATTAGTCGTGAATGTATACGTGAACGGACTATAACTTTAGACTCTAGGAATTCCTACGTTTCCAACAGACAAAGCTTTCGATAAGAACGACTTCGCCTTTCTGACACGATTCATAAAAAAGGTACGGGGTGTGATCGCAACCTAGGCGAGTCTTTCGCGGTTTCGGGGGGCGGGTAGAGCCGTTGCGTTTCCGTCTCTATGAACTCCAGGACCGCCATATATATAAATTTGTATTGGGCCTCGTTTTGAACCATACCGGAGCGTTGATCTCTCACCATTTGCACCGTGCGGTGAATGTCTATTTCGCAGTCGTAGCCCTCTTTCCTGACCTGGTCTAAGATCATGTCGATGACAATGAAGGTGCCGGTGCGGCCGATGCCGGCGGAGCAGTGCACGCACACCGCGGCCTGCAGCGGCGCATCCGGCCCCGTCATTATCTGCTGCAGCCTGTGGTTCACGTCCAAGAGGATGTTCAGCACCCTCCCGGGCTCCGAAGGAACGCCGTGGTCCGGCCAAGCCGTGAAATGGAAATGGTAGATCGTTCGTTTTTTTTCGCATTCGTCTTTTCTCGTCACGATGAAACGCCTCAGAGTGTAGTCCTGAGTCGAAGATTCCGATTCATTAAAGATGGTATATTTCTTATAGACTTCCGTCTTATTTAGATCCGGCCAGTATCGTTCGCATTTAACTTTGCCGCGTTCGATCTCTTTTGTCGTCATTATTATTATGCGGACGTCCTCCTGCCATATCATAGACCAGAACTGATATACTGTGGTAGTCAGGCAGCCTTGTGTAGCGATATAAAGTTTGTTGTACACAAGCTCGACAACTCCATTCTTCGTTGCGATTCCAGTTTTTGGAATGGTCGTATTAACATAGTTAGGATTTGGCCGAAGGACGAACGATGGAATTATCTTACGAATACCGTTTTCCTGTTTTATTATTTCTTTCGGCTTTTCTGATGTGATGATGACGCTGGCATGAATTGGCGATGACTTGTCCTTATGTCTGGAGGAAGCATCGCGCGAGGAATACGTTTCGAAGCTTCCGTTGGAGTCGGAATCGGTGCTTTCGCATCGGATGTAGTTGGCATTGATGTAATCTGCGCCAGGCGAAGCGTCGGGTGGTATATCGCGTAAAATGACGCGCGTGTGATCGAACGGTATAATGTTTTTATATCTGTTCTTTCTTATATTTTCTGGTTTTGAACCTTCCATTCTATCAAACAATTGCAAGTTTTCCATCATTTGTAACGTTTCGAATTCCTCCCAGAAACCCTGTTTGTATGCCATGCTCTCGATAGGACCCTCATTTTCTTTTTGAAGTTGTTTGACACGGGTATGAAGGTGTCTCACTTGTATTCGAGTAGCATTAAAAGGTTGAATAAGACGTAATACTTCGCCTGTGGTTTCGACCATTGGATAGTTGCGGTAGTGCTCTATTAAACTTACGAGATCATCAAACTGTTCACCTCCGCCGACGTCATACTTATTGTCCTTTCTCCTTATGATAACGTGCGTGACACGATCTCGCGTTCGTACGGACAACACGAAGTCCCCGGGCTGTCTCTGTGACTCTCTAACGAGGAAGGATCCATTTTTGCCGTTCTCTAACATCATCCGCTCGGCTTCTTTTGCCGTCAATTGGCCGTGGTACCAGCGCTCAGTGGTAGGATCTGCGCAGTTGAGTGGAATTTTTAACCTGATGATGTTACCGTTTTTTTCACGTAACTGACCTTGATTGTCCATATAATGCTGGACGAGTTCCGACAAAGTGGCGAATTTCTCTCCACCGTAAAGATCTAGAAACTCACCGTTATTCTGAATTTTTATGTGCGTTACCTCGTTACCCCTTCGCACAGAGAGTGTAAAGTCTCCCTTATTGCTCATACTAGGCCTCGCTAGGAAGTATCCGTCACGCCCGATATCCATCAGCAGTTTCTCTGCATCTACCCCGTTCAGTGACGGGTGGAACCATCGTCTTGTGATCATCTTATAATTATAAAAAGCACCAAATGTACACTTACATACACTACAAATTTAAAATTAATATCTTTATTCCTTGTTTCTTCAATGCATTGTCTCCTATCATCTGAAAATTAGAATAACATAAAATCAATTGTTTCATTTTCCTAGTTGAATAAATATGAATTTGTCAAATTATCAAATAAAAATAACTTTTGTATTAGTTTCTTACACTAAGGAGAAAACTTATGTTATAGATCTGAAATACTGTGCATGTTTCTCATTGAATTAGCTTAGCTTATAAAACATTTAAAAATAAGTTGCTCTTCATGATCATTTCAAGTAAGTAATATAACATGGTGATATGGACCGGGATGAGGAGGCAATATAACAAACTATATTCAGAGCAGGTCCTAAATTGAAACCTAAGGGTAAGTTTGGTATTACTTCATATATGTAATAATACTATCTTTATTTGATTTAACCAAAAACTGCAGGCTTAAACTCCAAATTTCATTAAAATTTCAATATATGATAGATTCTGACAATAAGTAAAGTGTTCAAAATTCATTCCAGAATTCAGCCGTCTCCCATTATTTTGTAATTTTTTTTTTAAATCTAATGATTTGACAAGAAATCTAAATTAAACCATTAACTATGTTTGTCTGACACACACAATGTTAATATTTTTTTCTATATTTATAATGATGAAATGATGGGGACATAAACCAGAAAGTGTAAAGATTGAATGTGGATGGCTACAAAGGAAGAGGAAGACCGAAGAAAGTATGGATGGATTGTGTGAAATAGGATATGCTTAAGAAAGGAGTGGATTCAGATTTGACGGCTGATAGAGATGTATGGAAGAGCAGCACATACTGTGCCAACACTTCATAAGGGATAAGGGCAAGTGGATGATGATGATAACATTTTAGCCTGTTAAATTGGCTTGAATATTTTGTCTAGTCACACAGTGTAATTCACTTGTATGACAGTTCAATTTTTAATACCATCTCTCTAATATTGGTATATTATTAATATTTATGTAACTTGATCTTGTACTTGACAATACCTAAACAATTTCCGTTAATAAGCATAGTTTTATTCCCCTTATCACGCTGCCTAAATTTGCAAACTTCTCCACATTAATGTGTTTTATTTATATGTTTTGTTAAATGTGCAATAAATATTTATGTAATCTATTTCTTTTGCTTACTATTACCAAACAACTATGGGCTGTATATTTCTCATAATTTTTTTTTCCAAAGCTCAACACAACTGTGCAGTTGTGAAATGTTTAATTTATGGTTGGTTTAATTATGTTTGAAATATGTCTTACTATAAATTTATATTTCATCAATATATGGATACTATTTTATGTGAAATAAACAATTAAAATTAAACGAAATCTAATAAAAAAGTAGTACAAAATTTAAAGATGTCTCAACTGGATACTCTATGTTTGTTTCGTAATATTAAGGGGTCGAAAATTATCTTGAATATTGCCGTAGCGCGTAATAATAGTATTATGACAAATTTACACACGCTCGTCAACTATAGGCACACTTATGCATAAGGCGCTACACAAAGGTATAACTTAAATTCATTATTTAGCAATTACAAAGATCTATGTTTACTTTTATGAATATTCTCTTACCTCCTAAAGGCACTCGAGCTGTGTGCAAATCGCTAAATTCCTTAAAATAGGAATTATTGCAATCGAACTGTTGTTGCTAAGCTGACTTTAGACTTTTTGTTATACTGTTGTATTCAAGGGCGTATACACTAGTTTAGCGATGCACAATTACTTCAATTGAACAATAACTTGCAGTAACATTTAGGGATAACCATATAATGTTACTAAGGCAATAAATAAAATGTTAAAAAAACTTATGAATAAAAGCCAAAAAATTATTTCGTTCCCTCGGTTGCCTAAAGTAATGACACAACTTTTTCCGTTTTTTTTTTTGTCTCCAATCTCCTCAACTTTGTCAGAATTGACATTGGCAGTTGGCAGATGACATTTGCACAGACGATAAATATTTAGAAATATATTTAGGTGTTGCCATTGCAAGAAATAAGTTCCTTCAATTTCCACAAAATGAGGGTTAATATTTCCGTACTCATGCTATAATATATTCAACGTGAATAATATTTACCGAAATAGTTGAGGCAAAACTATCTTTAAATCATAAACGATAGTTTTTTTAGTGTAAATAAAGCTGCTGAAAAGATTTATCATACTTAGGGTGAGTTGCATCAAATCGCCGGTTATCGTAAAAGTTATAGTTATAGTTAATAGGGTTACAAGTGCAAAAACATATTCTCACAGAGGTTTTATGTGTTTTTCGTTTTTACAATGGAAACATTTAAACCTGAATGTCACTAAAGTGTCAAGTTGGTGTCAAGAATGACATTTACGTAAATTAAAATGTTTGGAAATTCATGTTTCGCCGTATATATTTATGTATCATACGCATGGTATTTTATAGTGACATAAACTTTTTGCCCACGGAGATGGAGAAAATGGCAAACTCTTGTGAAAATAAACTAGTTTGGGCCATTATTGAAACTGTATTTACTTTACTACTCAAATATGTAGCAAAAATGAAACAATAAAATTATACAAATATAAATGCGTCTTATTTATTTGCCATATTATAAATTGTCCTCTCAATGCATATTATAAATTGTCCTTTTATGGAGGACATTTTTTTTAAATAAGAGAAAAGGGACAAGCGCTGTTGCTATGGCCTTCGACACTCGAAATTTGTCCAAACTGAATGATTGGCCAAATTTCGAGTTCCATCTTGGAAATCCATTATTCCCGAGCACGCAAGACTTTATTCTTCTGGATTACGTATAGGATAATAGTAGAGATTTTCTTTTTCCATTATTTGTACTTTTGAAGATAAGAGCTTGTGACAGTTGACACTACCGAACTGACACTAACCGTAACGCTAATTATAACCGCCCAAAATCGGGCGGTTATGATTAGTGTCATATATGACGTCATTTTGACCAGCGCAAAACTGGTGTAGCGAATATCATGAACATCCGTAGACGTAACCATCGTGAATGTGCTGGTTAAGGTTTATAGTTAGTTAATGTAACTCACCCTTAGTAAATTTTAAGGTTATTCCAAATATTACCGTTACAAATAATTTTAACTTTAACGGTAACCGGCGATATGGTGCAACTCACCCTTAGTGTATAATAATTTACGAAATCTGTTTGTAAAAGACAAATAACAGGAAAACTAATTTATATTGCCATAAAATAAAATTACAAGTAAAAAATGTTTTTAATTACAAATCAAAACACTATTTTTCATTTGACGTCGACTGGTTCTTTTGGGTTCTACCAAAATAGCTCGATATAACTTTTCTAACAGCAAGCCGTCTGTTCTGGGAAGAGGTTTCGCCTTCATTGTGCGATGTTTTAGTCCAATGCTCTGCAAAACTTTGTCGCCTAAACACTTTACCTAAAGATTGCCATTTTTGTTCAGGACTAATTTGTTTATCTTCGAACGTTTCCTTGCTGCCCGATGGTCGATCACCCTATAAGAAAAATATTTTTTTTTATTTTAATGTTACAAGGTTGCAAGAACCAGTAGACACTTGAAAATTTCATAAAATGTTTATGTAAAACTGTTATTACAATAACTACTACCATCAGACACCGAATAAGTAAAAGTGGAGTATATCTTCATAGTCTGACCAAAGTTTCTAAATGCAATAGAGGAAAATGTAAATTGGTAGAAATGAATGAGTTGAAGCTGACAATATCGCATCAATGCCGTTAATATATCTATATCTACAACTTCTTCAGAGTGAACTTTTCAACAGTTGTTGTCCTCCCGATAAAAATAAACCTTTTAACACTGGGAATCTAACAAAATTGGACAAAAGATGATATCGCTATTATGAAAGATAATTTATTGTCATGTTACTTACATCATTAGATTTGGTAGAGCGAAGCTGACCACGAAAAAAACTTGATATGGATTTTTTCCAATTTTTATGATGTTTAAAAGAATTCAAATCTAAGGTACCGGGACCATCTGCCGGCACTTTATTTTTTTTATACGTTTCTTCTTCTTTTTTTACAGAATCCTTTTGATACTGAGTACCCTCAGGGCACAACATTTTAGTTATATTAGTGCTGTTTAATTATTTTGTTTATAACTATGGTATGTGTTTAAAAACGTTTAAAAATATTTTCAAGTGTCATAATAATAAGGGCATTTGTTTGAGTTAAAAATGTCAAAATCAAAAATGGAAGATAAACGTTTTATAATATTAGAAATAGGCCAAGTAAACAAACGAGTTATTTTTCAATTTTGTGTTAAAAACTTTATGCTCCTGAAAAATTCAACTATATAAAAGGTGGCGCCCCAATCGCTTTAAAGATAAACCCGTTTTATTGGCTTTACAGAGCTGATACTTTTGCCTTTTTATACACAAAACACAAAGTTAAAAGAGCGGGAAATCGAATTTAGTTTGTATACGATTACAATTTGTAATATTTTAATCAATAGCAATTGAATTAAAAATAGCCACCTGTTTATGCCATAAATTATACGTTTAATCGAAATTAATGATGCAGGCGTTGGCTTCGCCGGAAGTAGGCATTTTTTTTATAATTTGTTGGAAAATTAGGTTATTTTAAATGTTTATTGTGATTTTTTGTTACTGCAGGATTTTTTAAAGCTCTTAACAAACGACGCCACAAAAAATTATCTAGGTTCGGTAACTCTAATGAAACAATTAACGGTTGCTACTGTGAGTATGATAGCGTATTTGAAGGATGCCTTTCCGGAGGACAGTTATAATATAGAGAAGTTTAAAGAACTTAAATTACCAATATTAAAGAAGAATTGTCGAGATGAATCTGCTCAATTTCTTAGCACGGCATTAATAAATGCTTTCGACGCATTTGATAAGAAATATGTAAGTTATTGTTTTAAATTTAAAAAATAACCACAAAATTGAACATCGATCAAGATTATTATTATTTGACAGTTAATGAGTTAATTACAAGTTTTTTTCATAGTTAATATAAAAATAAGAAACTATCCGTATTTTAGCTAGACCGTCTAGCATTATGTTTCTACGTGGACGAATGTAAGCCGGAGAATTTGGTGGATTATCATATATTCGAGTACACGTACCACGCGACGGGCGCGTGCGTACGCGTGCATTCCGGCCGCGAACTTGAAGACGACGCATACCACCTGCTGCAGTACTGCACCGTCGTTAACAACGGCTATCAAACTAAGACACCTGCCTCTTTGGACTTCAGCTTGAAACTTTGTTACAACGAAGGTATTAAAAATAATTGTATTAATCCTTCGTCTCCGAATATTAGGGAAATGCTGTGATAAGTCAATTGACCGACTAGAAGGGCGACTTTGTTTTTTTTATTAAAAAGACATGAAAATGTATAAAGCTTGATGCATTGTAGCTGGCAACAAAAACTACTTCTTAGCTTCATCTTACTAATATTATATTAGATGCGTTTAGATGAATGGATGTTAAGAATTTGTTGCCTAAAGGGATTTCGATCAAATTTGGCATAGACGTAGGGGGTAATCTGGAAGAACACGTAGGCTACTCATTTTTTAAATTACCCACCAATGGAGTCGCGTGCAAAAGTTTATTCTATAAAAAACATATAGCTGCGCCGATAGACTACCAGGCGCCAGGTTTCAGCAGCTCTTCAGAGTTTGAGCAGCAGTTATCGCAGCAGCTGTCGCCAGTGGACATGTCCACCTTCTCGCTGGGTGACGTCACCACGCCATACCACGGCCTGCGCGTCACCTCCCGCTTCAACGATCACCTCGGCTTCAGCAATACGGCTATCGTAAGAATTACATCTACTTTGATTTCAAAAAGCACGTTCTTAATTCGGTCGTTATTTTGTATACAGTCACATTTATAAGCAGCGTTGTATTGGTTTTTATTTTTGTCGCGTTTCAAAATGTTTAAACGATTGTAACTTTTGAGGTTAAATACGCTTTTTCTCTAACTGTACATCGATTACTCTTAGATTTATGATACGATTTACTTCTTATTTTATTTTGTGGTCCTATGTTTTTCAAAATCAAAAAGTATCTAGGAGTTTTTCTTAAAATATGCTTTCAGTACTCCCGTTTTTCATTTTACAAATGTAATTCCTAGGCCTCGCAGAACACTCCCTTGATGACTCAAACTCAAGATGTTACCGGTAAGTTCGTTTATAACAATCCCATTACTTTATTTGGTATGGATATTAAAACAATATTCTTTATTCTTTATTTGAACATGTTTTTTGTAATCAATAATGTTGTGGCGCAGCGTTTTCAGAGGTGTGCAAGGGGGCGCTGCGCTGCCCTTGCGGCCTCGACAGGACGGAACTGCGTGACGTCACCTCCCTCATCACCTGCAAGTTAGCTCAGCTTTCTCTACTACTACTACTCATAAAATACTTCCAATTCTACATTAATGCCAAATTTCAACAAGATCCGTTTAGACGTCCTGTAAATATGCATTCACAAACATCCATCTTAATCCACACATCTTAAATGTCACTGTCGATTAGTAAGAAGTGAGAATTTGATGGAATAATTTTAATAGTCAACAACAAATATCTACGGAGAGCAGAAATTGTGTCACATCACATTCGGTTTCACTGGCGTTAATTTCAGGAACTACAAATTGAAATTCAATATCGACTATGCACATTTTTGCATTTATCAGCTTTAGGGTTAATAAGAAGACAAAAGACGCATTTACTTCCGGAGTCTTTTATTAGTCACTGCAAGACGTCTTTAATTAATGGACTTTATGACTGAAGATGGGAGTTAATCGTATGGTCTACTATCTGCGTGTACATGAGCGAATTACTTAGCTACTGCAAGACGCAGCAGCATGCGGTATGTTTCGGCGTACTGCGGGGTGCGG